AAACAATAATATAAACTATTGTATGGCTGAAAACAATAATATAAACTATTGTATGGCTGAAAACAATAACAGAAATTAATTTAAACCAAGTACAAATTCTAAGAGAAAAAAAAAATCAAAAGATGTTAAGACAATATTTACAAAGACATATAGTATACACATACATCCAAAATTTATAATTATTAGAGTTAGCAAACACTTAAAATCAAAATTTGGTTATAAATATACATAATTTATATATATATATTATTGAACATGTGTACATGTATCTCATGAACTGTCATTAAATTACAATTGTGGAATCATATTCTAGAAACATATATTGTGTGACAGAAACTTTAATAATTTAAAGGTATAAGTTACATATACTTAACAGAATGTTATCCAGGATCATGGAGAGTAACAATAGCAAGACTTATGGTTAGGACTTATAATACATTTAAATTGTTTGTAAGATAATTTGTTGAACAAATCTGACAAATTCTACTATGATTTGGTAAATTTCTTACAAATATAAAAAACATCAAATAAGCTCTCTTTATTGACAAAAAAAAACAACAAAAACCAAGAATTAATCAGTATTCAGGTGTAAAATTATATTTATATTAATTCCCCCTATTTAAAAGTTGTGTCCGAGTTGTTCTTATTTTGTTACTTAGCGTTGTCGTAACAGTGTTCTTCCATCATTCAATTGTATCCATCTGACGATGCTGGGTAAACCTAGCAAAATTTTTTTTTAAACTAAGATACATTTTTAACAAATTTTTTATTTCTTTTATCCATACAGAAAACTTTTATATAATTGCATCATTTTTTCCATTTCACAAATTCTTCAGTTTTTCAAATATTACTATATATATATATAACTGTAAAATAACTTACCAAAATGCTTAAATTACTATACTTCTGGGAATCTTCTTTCTTTCTGTGTTGACACTTCGGAAAGTTTCTGTGTTTCTCCAAGTGGAGATCAACTGTTGCTGTTGCTATTGCATTAATAATTATATTCACAACAGCATCCTCAACAGATCTCTGGCCATGTGTACTGTTTTTCTAAAGTACATTGTTATCACATTAATATAATTTTCTATCTTTTTGAAACATATGTTTGTAACAATATAATTTTGACATCCACTTTTTATAGATAATGCACATGTTTATATAGTATAAGTATAGTAAGCACACAATTCAGGTCTATTGCAAATAAAAAAATATTTTTCTTATTCTTCTGGCAGCTCAAAACCTAATAGTGCCCCTGTTTGTATCCTAATACAAATCCCCTGTTTGTATCCTAATACAAATCCCCTGTTTGTATCCTAATACAAATCCCTTGTTTGTATCCTAATACAAATCCCTTGTTTGTATCCTAATACAAATCCCTTGTTTGTATCCTAATACAAATCCCCTGTTTGTATCCTAATACAAATCCCCTGTTTGTATCCTAATACAAATCCCCTGTTTGTATCCTAATACAAATCCCTTGTTTGTATCCTAATACAAATTTACAGATTCTTCTTCAGATTTGTCTCTAAAGATAACTTTTAAAAACATTTCAAGTCAAATCAAATTTTTCATATAACACATATTAATATATGAAGATCAAAAGAAACAGATATAGCATCTGGAATGACAAATTCAATGCATTAGACAAGGATAAGTACTTCAAAACCAACCAAAGAATCTAGTATTTAACAGGCAAATTAAAACTGGAACTAGCAGGGATACTTTGGTTCAGATCAGAAGACAAAACTGCTGTCTGTTTCTTTCTGAGATTTTTCTACTTAAAACTACAACAAACAAATGTACGAGGACCTTAGAAAAAGGCTTGCATAAAACTATGTATTATACAAGTGTGTGTAGATACATTTGTTTTTATTACTTACTGGTGACCCATCAGAAGGCTTTAGAGTCAACTTGATGTCGGGTCTGTCCACAAAACAAACAATAAAGATGACCTCTTCAACATTACTGAAGAATCTAAGCTGCAATAAATTAAAAAAAATACCTTATCAACAACTGACAGGGCCAAATTTTTCATAAGGATATAAAAAATAATATTTATATGTTCTGAACAACTGGAGAAACAAAGGCAGGTACTTATAATATCAAAAAAACTACGTGTGTTTGACTTTCAAGTGAAATATTGTGATTATACGTCGATTTATATTATAATTATAAATTTTAATATTAAATATTTCTTTATAAACCTTTATATTCACAAACCTAATAATGTCTTTTTTTTCCATATTAAGTTTTTTTTCATTTAAAAAATTTCTGGTAAATCTACTCTTTTCTTAGAAGAAAAATAACTTTATTACAAATAATCAACCAGATCGATGCCATAAATAACTATATTACAAATAATCAACCAGATCGGTGCAATAAATAACTATATTACAAACAATCAACCAGATCGATGCCATAAATAACTATATTACAAATAATCAACCAGATCGGTGCAATAAATAACTATATTACAAATAATCAACCAGATCGATGCCATAAATAACTATATTACAAATAATC